GGGGCGTCTTCTGTGAGGAATTTACATGTTCACCCTGTAGCCGTGTGAGTTCTCGCCAGCCCACCCAGCTTCTTCACACAGTTTAGAGATGCTGTCTAGGATGACTGGCGTCTCTTACAGTAATTGTCCTGCAAATGTGTGTATCCTGCAATGCACCGGGCGATTCACCGCTAGTCTGTGTTGAACAAAACGCTCGTCGGGAATCGATGTATAATTAATTTTCATGAAATAGCGAATAATGCAACAAAAGCTGTTGTTTCCAGTACTAATGTGTTGTGTTTTTTTGTCTACTAATAATATTGCCCATTTGTTCTTATATTTGTTTTACGTATGAATGTATAGTCGCTCGAAAATAATACTTAATATTATTTTTTAAATGATTTAGTATCAGATATATGAAAACAAGAGACTAAGCTTCATGAAGGATTTTTAAAAATGACAATTTTTAAATAAGATAGTGCTATTATGAGTCCTAGCACAGATTAGAATTGCTCTAGGCAGGGCTAACATGGTATTTTGTCCTCTCACTTGCAACCTGTATGGCATCCACTCCCACGTTTCTTCCAAAAAGTAATTTAAGACAACCTTTAAACGTTAGAACAACTTCTAGTGATTCAAATATAACAATCTTAGATTTTTTTTACACTAAGAAACAATATTTCCTGCTTTTAGGAATACAAAGACTTATCCAGCTTTTAAGATTGTATTGGTTATTTCATTGCATAAAATAAGCAAAGATTATTAAGATTAAAGATTACAGATTTAATCTCAGCCTTAAGGATGCATCCAGGTTTGTTTAGGGAAATTAAAGGTTTTTGAAGAGCAAAAGAGGAGCTGAAAGCAAAGCAAAAACAATCAGCAAATATTCACAGATACTTAAAACAATGACCTAATATCATTATTTAATTTCCCAGCCAGACCATTAATTCTTCTGAATTAAGACAAATTGTTCTCAATTTATAGGCCTAATTTTAATTATCTGAAAATTAAATTTTCTCAGTCTCTTTATCTCAGGCTGTGACAGGAGATCAACTGGACTGCCAGATCTATTGAGGTTTCTCTCCATTTCACCCAGTACAGTTGAAAGATGTTCTGATTTTGGCACGTGTCTGGGACTTTTTAATAGCAGACACTGCTCACCTGAGACCCAAGTTGTTATCTATTCCTCCTCAAATAGATCAGTAAAGGATGTTGTATGCATACCACACCCCTCAGTCAACTGCCTATTAGCATGATAAAATGGAGGTGAAAGATGAGTCAAGCTGCACCGCCCAAGAACCTTGTTTTCTTTGACGTTAAAATACAGTCTGTTGACTCATGAACAAAAAAAAAAACTCACATTTATAAAAACGTGTTATACTGTGCAGGATTATGATACACCCATACTCAAAATTATAGGGACACTTTTATCATCCTACTGAAATGTAACTCAAAATGGGAAAAACTATAAAATATTTTACAGAAAATTGAATTTGTCAAAAGAAGATCTTGCTAGCAATTAGGTCATGCAGCTTTAATTCTGAGTACTGTGTTAATTTAGTACTTATCATTACACAGAGTACCTTTATGTTGGTAACACTGTTCTTTGTCACTTTCTTTATAAGTTAATTCCAATAAATTCAATCAATATTAAGGTCTGATGAAACGGCCCACTGAAATATAAAAAAAAAATGTAAGTAGTAGGAGTCTGGAATTAGCTATGGCTTTGAAAATAATGCACAAAGATCTTCCAGGATGCAGATGGATGAGATGCTTTGATGGATTATTTGCTTGCAATCAATGAAACTGCAGGGGCTGAACAGCCCCTCTCTTTTGTAACCTTTCTAATGATCTTAAAAATTTCAGATATTTATTCATGTCCCAATAACTCTTATCTTCTATATTTTGAGAATGGTTTGGTGTTTGGTCTTATCCCTTTTTCATAGTTTTTCCATCTTAGCAAAGTTTTTTTTTAGTACTATCACCTCTCCCAATCATATCTGCGTCTCAAAGCTCTGTCTTTTCTGATTGATTTGATTTGCACTATCATCCCATGCATTTCCTTAGTTTTAACTGAGTCACTGTTAATTGCAAAACCATAACCTGGTTCTACAGTTATTGACTGTGGCTTGCATTCCATTCATAAAATGTAAAATAAGGCTCCTTTCTCAAAAGTTAAAGTATTGCTGAAGTATGGACTTAAATTTTAATTGTTGCATATTTCAGGGTATATTAGATATAATGTAGGAAATAGTTCATTTTCATTATCGTACAAATTAGAAATTAGGGATATCCAATAATAACCCCTCTGAAAATTTGTGAACCAATATATGTAGAAGAGCGGTAAGCTCATTTAACTTAACCACTGTGAATTGATCAATATTTTTCACATGTAGTTTCTTCCAGTTAATTATTTGCCATTTTGTACCTACAATTTTTTTACCTGCATGAAATGCTCTGCACATCCGACTATATTTTATTTTAATCATTACAGGGTCATGGGGGAGCCAGAACCTAACCTGGCAAGTAACACTCAGAAGGTGGGATACACCCTAGATGGAACGCCAGTCAATCTTACTACTCTGCACATGTTTCCATTAAAGGGAAACTGCAGTCCCAATTTCTCCAACTGGTTATTAAATCTCAGTAACAAAATAAAATAATTGACATTATAGAAAAAAATACACATTTCAAATTCAGCAAAAAATCATTAACTTTGTGAAAATACTATGTCACATGAATTGCGACTTAATGCAGCCCTTACTGCTCTCGAGTCACTAATGTAATGTGATGCACAAGCAAATAAATACAGGTTGTGCAGCCGACATTTCACCGCGGAAGTGTTCCAATGTGATCTGTCAGGATTTGTCAGGAAAACTGTCTTCAAATCGAAAGCAGTATTTCTATTGGATAAAAAGGGATGTATTCACAAACCTGCTTGTTTACAAAATGATAAGTCCACACTGGTAGCTTTATTGCCTTGTTCTGAATCACAGAAAATAGTGCTGCATATACTTGAAACTTTTGTCTATTTTGTGATGTAAACTGGAGGTTTTATTAGTTACTGTGTACATTTTACTTTTATAGTGGTTTGAAATGAACACATCGATGCTGATTCTTTCTAACCCTGAAAATAGTGTTGCATTTCCCCTTTAAATGTCATCTATCAGGAATTTGTCCAGTCTGCAGTTTTGTCATAACCTTACTGTATTCCATTCACTGCTTCTACGATTTTTGATAAGTCTCATATTAATGTACCATCTAAGATAAGATCACTTATCTTATACAATTTCTTGCATTAGGAATTTTGTGTTTTCACATGCCCCAGCTTGCTCTCCATGAGATACACAGGCAGGGAGAGAGCAGTTTGGGGTCAGAGCACAGGGTTAGCCATTTATATGGCACCCCTGGAGCAGCTGGGGTTAAGGGCCTTGCTCAGGGGCCCAACAGAGTAAGATTTCTCTGCTGGCTGTGGGATTTGAACCTGCAACTCTCCAGCCACAAGTGCAGATCCTTAGCCACAAAGCCACTGCTCCGCCCCGTCTTGGTATAGTTTGTATATTTTACAAGATCTAATGTATGCCACACAAATTATGGATGCATTTTACACATTTGCTTAAACAAATTGACCAAAGGAGAATGGGAGTTGCGTGCATATTTGTTTGCTGTGCAATGGACTAGCATCTAGATAGGCTTTAGCTCCCCCGTGACCCTGTATTGGATAATGTGGTTAGAAAACCACATTAGATTGGATGGATGCAGAAGGGGAATGTTGACCAGAGCTCTGATGAGTCATGTCAATGCAACTGTGTTCAAGGCCGGTGTTGCTCAAGCTGTATTTGTACATGCAAGCTGTAAAAGATGATCCTATACCTCTGATCTGTCTTTAGATGATTGCTAAGGTGTTAGCCTTAAGAGTTCTGCTTTGCTGATATGAACGGTTTGAAGGAGAAGTGGACCAAGTGTACTGATGGAGGTATTTACTAAAAAGTCATTTTAGAAACATTGTAGATTTTATAGTTGAACATATTAATCAGTCTAAAAACTAAACAACCATTCATATCATGGGTCAAACGTGGAATTTTACAACAATCTTGTAAAGAAAGTATTCCTGTGCAAAAGAACACCTTATGTTGTAATGCTGATAAGATCCTGTGATAATTTAATTTATTTAGCTAGCAGGCATTTCACCCTGCAACTCACAACTGGTAACCAATGAAGTTAGGGAGGTGTGAGCATGGCCAGTACCTGGATGGGAGACCTAGGAAAGCTAAGGTTGCTGCTGAAAGAAGTGTTAGTGGGACCAGTAGGTAGTCTTCAGCCTGTGGACTGTGTGTCCTAATCCTACTGTAGTGACAAGGACAGTATACTGCCAAAAAGTGACTCTCTAAAGAGCTGCTAAGGAGTAGAAAATAATAATTTATTGCTATAAAGAGACATTTTTTCCTTCTTTTACTTTTTAATGTGTAGTTTACCTCAAATATAGAGTTCCCTTGAATTATTCTGTTTTGATATTCAGTAAGGTTTTTATACATTCTAAAGTCAGTTTTTTTAGATTTACAAAAAGGTTGAAATTATTAAGACTTTATTATAAAGCATTTAAAAGACACTATTAAATAACCAAACTCCAGGACACACTAGAAGGAAGGGATGATGATAATCGTGATAATCGTTAATAATACAGATGATGATAACGACATTAAATGTATTACTAATATGTGTATTAATATAGATAGTATAATTTCATGCGGTGTAACATTATGTGGGCCTGGGAAAATACAACATTTTCACGGCATTGTGTGACATTTCGTGGAAACCCATCCCGCTGACGGCTATAATTTATCGCCCTGTAAACACGTGGGAATACAATCACAGTACCATAAAACAAGCAAGCGGCTCAGACACAAGCGAGATCTCGCGATGGGATGGGTTCCCCTCCATTATTGTCTATTATGAGAGTTTTCCTAATCTCGCGACGTTTCTGAAGTTTCCCACGCCTGTTGTTGTGGCGTCTGCCCTTTTCTTTTCACTCTCTCTTCTTTCTCTCTCCTCCCTCCCTCTCTTCCTCACCCGCCCCCTTTCTCTCTCTCCCTCTGGCTCCTTCCTCTCCACTCCTCGGCTGTTGTCTCGGCGGCCCGTCAGGCGAGAGCGGGGATCTCGCGAGTGTTGGAGTTTGGGTGAGAGTTTGTGGAAGATGGCGCCTGTTGTGACAGGGTAAGTCTGAGATTCAGAGCTGATGGTGGTACAAGAGTTAAAGTGGAATTAACTAATTGGAGTTAAATTAGGTGTTTTTGCCGGAGCCCAGCCCGACGAGCAGCCCCTCTGCTCTCCAGCCTGTTTTTGTTTATAATGGGTCTTGGTCTTTCCCTCTTCTTTCAAAATGTATTGTGTGTATTCTCCCACTACTCCACACTCCTTTCTACTGACTGTTGCTGCACCGCCGTGTTGTGGGGGCTTTGTACTGATCGAGCCCTGTGCTTCTAACTGGAGTTCAGGCTGCACTGAGGATCTTTTTCTTCTTTGGAAAACCCGGTAGCTCCACGAGTACAATCAATGGATCGAAAAGCAGAAAATATTTTCAGCGTTTTCCCCTCCCCATTGCTAGGCAGTCAGCGAGTTGTAACTTAAATCCACGATGCATTTTTCCCTGAATTCTGCTGCATTGTTTTGTGAAGCTTGCAATATCTGAGCCCATTTTCAACTCTCGTTTGTGTTTTTTTTTAAAACTTCGGCTGTTTTTTTGTTTGCGTGTTGCGGCCGTTCCTCACCGTCTTTGACAATAATCCCGCAAATCGTGTTTCGGGATCGCAGTTTTTGAACTGCGAGTGCTCGAGTGTTCATTTTAAGTGTTGTTTATGAGGGCAGCACCTTGCCTTGTTTCCAATCACATCTTTCCTGCTGCGCGATGCAGCTGAACCAACGCAGATGCGGAGTGCAACTCAGGACATACGAGGCAGAAGATGAGCACGAAAGAATGTGGTAGTTGCATTAAAACATTTCAATTTAATGTTTTAATGGAGCTATGGTTTGCTCAACGCTTTCTTTTAAATACGTTTCTTCACAATTTGCTTTGTTCCGGCGTCCCCGGTGGTGCCAGTTACAGCATATTGCTGATTGCATCTTTGTGGTTCACTTTATTGACAATGTTCTGAAGTTAGTGAACGTGGTTTATTGAACCATCAGTTACGGCGATCAACGATTTAGGATTTATGAAATGCAGACGGACCGATTTATTCTAATCCAGGGTACCATTTAATTTATAATGACTGAGTACTTTATATATTTTAAAGAAGCAGAACGTATACTTCTGCACATATGCAGAAACCAAACTAATCTCTGGTTTTAGAAGTCTGAGAGCGTTATTTCCGTTTTCTCAAAAATATGATCCATATAAATCTCCATGACACGAGCTCTCTTACTTTGCGCTTAAGACAAAAATGTTTGATATCAATATTTTAGTCTGGGAAACAAGTCATTACCTTGGGAGGGTGTGATCGTATTGCTGCTGGCTGTGTACAAGTGTGCAGGCTGTCTGGCCACCTGTCCAGACAGTATTTGGTGGTTTTAGAGAAAACTTGCCATAAGGGGCCCGATTCGCATCCTGACGGTTCTTCCCGAGATCAGTGTCAACAGTATTATCTTACCGATTCACATCTGTACTGTTAGAGCACTTCTACCGTAGTATTGTTGGCATAACAAGCTATTATTGATGCGCAAGCATTGTTTAGGCGGTAATACATATCATAGTGTACGTTTAATACGGTTTGATTTTTTATTTACATAGTCTGGTATCAAAGCCATATCGGTTTACTTTTCATTAGTGTATATTTTAGAATTGAGGTTTTCATTTTAAATCAATAACGTTTATATTTACAAAAGACTACCCAACTTTTGTAATAATATTATATGGATTGGCTGCAGTTGGAGTTGGGAATACGATTCAGTTTACAAATCCCTTTTAGATATGCCCATATTCTGAGGCCTTTACGGCTGCGTGGCATCTGGGCACAAGTGATGAGAACCAATGGCACTGTTGTCATGTTTGACTGGATATTGGGCAGGTGAAACAAAGGAGACATCACAGTTCTGAAAGTTGTGGTCTTTTGAGGATAAATGCAACCATTTCTCATGTCCAGGTTAGAATGTGTTTTTATGGTATCTGCATCAAGCAAGTTGTGCAAAGTGGTAGCAGATTGAGGAAATGTCTCACAGCATAACTTCATGCATTTGCTCAGTTTTAAAAATCATTTGATTTGGCTTATTTTTTTTAAGTTTGATATGTCCAATTCTTTTCTTTTTTTTCTGAATTCTTTTCTGAAAGTGTAGATTAAACAACTGGTTTTATGAAAGGTACGTTTTCACAGTGCTGTAGAATATATTGCAGCTCAGTGAGAATATGAGTAAAGTTTTTAAACTGATGTGTAACTACTTATGCAAACAGCAGCTCAAGTAATAGCAGTATTTATTGTGTGTGATGCACCTACTGTAGTTTCATTGAGTCACTGGAGGGTAACAGGATGTTATTTGCTCGGACAAGACTGTCTTTGCTTAAAACCTTTGCAAAGATAGAGTTGATGTCATTTTCATTATTCATAGTAATTGAACAATACGAAGTATTAAACGTTTTACAGATTGAAGGGTTGCCTCAGCTTTAGTATTTTGATTAATCTAGTTAATGGTACAATGATAAAGAAGTAAAAGCACAAAACATTAAAAGTGTTGAAACATGAATAATAGGTTTATGTTTTTATCAAAACTGGTGAAAAGTGTTACCGGTGGAAATTTAGAAAAATCGTTTAGTTGCATTTTTCAAGTGTCTCCTTAAAAAATCCTAAACAGGAAACAGCTGTGACATACGTTTGTACTGTGTACAGTTGTTTCTGGAGGCTCGAAATTGGTGTGGCTTTAACATTGCTAGATTTTAATTTTCTCCCCCATTGTGGAATCACAGATTCTCTAAATGTTAAGTTTTCTTGTAAATTATTTCCCTCCTGCTATCCTAATAAGTTGTTTTGATTAAGAAAATAAAACGGGATCCAGATTGGATGAGATGTATGACATTTTCAAATTGTGACCACTGCCAGAAAGACAAAACGGTATTCATCTGGTAAAGTGTTAATGGGAAAAGTAGGGGGCATTTATTTTTAAAGGAACAAGTTAAAGGTTTATTCCATGCTGAAAAGAGATGTAAAGGAAACAACGTTTCGGCTGTGGAGCTTTCTTCGGGTGTAGAAGGCTCCACAGCCGAAATGTTCTTTCCTTTACTCCTCTTTTCAGCATGATATAAATGTTTACTTGTTTCTTTGCAGCCTACGCATGCTGACGCAGCTACCTGCTTGATTTATTTTGAAGGTGTGCTTAGCAGTTTTTGTTGTTTTTTATATTTTCTCTGTACAGTGTTTTCTGTGGCGTGTTCTTTTTATCGGCAGCAAGTAGCACAGTGTTTTTACCGGAGGAATCCTCCAGCTCATATAGAAACCGTCCCTTTTCTGATGCCTTAACAACTTAAATAAACAGTGATACACAATTCAGGTCACTTGTTGTTTCATTCTAACTTAAAAATAGTTTCTTTATTCATTGTATTGTGTATGCTGCAAGACATTACAAGGAGAACATCTTGTATTATTTTGCATTTTGTTAGTAGTTGCCTATTTTTGTAACCATGTTGGATGTGGAGGAAATATCCTTATGCTTATTTTTTAAAGATATATCTTAGTGAGGCCACCAGGATTATGATTTATGTCAATGTAATGCAAATTCTAAATTGATAAAAAGAGCCAAACAATAAGATTGTCATGAAGAATGCAAAGCTGTTTTGAGAAGAAATGTTGAGAATGTTTTGCATATATGTAATTTAATAATTAACAATGTATGTGTTGCATCTAAAATCATAGGTGCACAATGAATCAGACTTCTTTTCTCTGGCTTCTGTCATGTCCTTAAAAGGACCATTTAAAAAATTAAGACGACCACAAGGCTCTCAGTATCCCCCGAAGTCTTTCAATTCCATTATTATTCTGCACTCAGGAGTGAGAACCAGACTGAAACCCTGACTTTTCAGAACTTCTCTGTGATCAAAACGTTCTGCTACCTATGGAAAGTTTTCCTGTACAATTGTTGAAACCTCAGCAGTTGTATGAATATATAATTCAGTGCTTTTGCAATACAACCTACCCTTGCCTAAAGGTATTTTTTAAGTTGGTGATTCACAGACATAATATCAGAGTATCTCTGTATGCAGTATCTGTGTGTCTGAGCAAGCTCCATTCTTAAACTCTCTAACCTGTCACCGTCAGGGCAGGCCCCTGTTGTCTCCTTATTCAGATCTAAACTAAAGACAAATTTGTTACCATTGACTCTCCATTAACTGGTCATTTAATGGTAGTACATCTCCTGGCATGAAAGGGACGTTGAATGTTGCTGTGTTTTCAAAATCAGCAGCTTTTTGTAATTTGCTGAAACTCCTTAAATGCCATTGGGTTAGCACTGAGGATGGAGCATATGACATATATATCTATTTTGGTTTTTAGCATCTAATTTCTCTAAGTATGACTCATGTCCAAAAGGGAAGGAAATTGAATTGAATTGTTTTTGCCAGTTCAGGTAAATGTAAATGTTCTGTTTTCTTTAAATTAATTTAATTTAATTTTATTTTATTTTCTTGTAAACAGTTAGTTTCCCTCATCTGGATGATAAACTGATTAATCTTCATGTTTACTAAGTAACAGTTTAAGTGGCTTTCAATTAGTATTTAGTGTTTTATAAATATTGGCCTGAAGAGTGCTTTATATGTAATACTGGTCATCACATTTTCAAACTAATTGATTAAATAATTCCCTGGTAAAGCGATAATACACAGCTTATTTGTTAGTTTGACAGTCTAATAATTTAATTAATAATTAATGGTAATATACCTTATTTTTTGCTTTCTGAGTTTTATATGGAGGGGCTAGATTCCTAGGGTTGGTGAGAAGTACAGAAAAAACAAAGCCAAAGGTCACATTTGTAGGTATTATTTTCCCCATGTTATTGTTACTGCAAATTATCTTTTATCGAAGGACTTTTTGCATGTGCATTGGCGCTTTGACATGACTAGCAGCTTCTAGATATATAACTGGTTTCTGAGTACAGTGCAGAATAAACCACATTTCACTTACTAAGAATTTTAAGGTTAGTAGTATAGGGGCTGGGGTCGACGTAATGGGTAGCATGCT